GGGAGAGAGAGAATTAATCAGTCTCCCATCAGCTGAATCACTTCCCAGTGTGCTGTAATGGCCAGCGCTGGGCCATTACCAAAGCCAAGAGCCTTTGTAGGTGCAGGGACTCAAGTATTGGGGCCTTCTGCTGCTTCCTCAGGTGCGCTAATAGGGAGCTAGCTCAGAAGAAGAGCACTTGGGACTTCAAGCTGTCCTCCAATATGGAGTTGTTGTCACTGGCATTGCAGATGGTGGCTTAAGTGACTATGCCACCGGCCCCCAAATGAGAAAATACGTATCTGGCACAGAGACAGTGCTGATGTGTGTAGCATTATAACCACAGAATCTGGACCAAACTGCCCCAGAGACACGCCCGGCGGGCAGCATCATGGTTTTCGTTTCGTTTTGTTTTTTAGCTTGGATTGAATGGTTATCTCAAATCCTCCTAAAACTGAGCAGTGTGTGGAGCCTACACTAACACAGAGCAGAACACACTTTCCATTTACTTCTAGCTTTAGCCAGTTTGTCGCTGTGGACGATATCTCTGAAAGAACAAAGAGGCAGACGTGGGGACTCTTGACCGTTAGTGGCAGCCTGCTGCGCTGGTATCTGTTCATTGTCACATCTGTGGCTTTTCCTGTGACAGCTGTGGTCTGTCCTTGGCCAGGGCCTGGTTGTCATGGCCATCCCTCTTGCCTTTCAGTCCTCCGGGTTGAAGTTAATGAGTGACCTATTATGTTCAAAGCCCAAGGTCAGATGCATATTACCTGTCATTTAACGGGTATTATAAAATACATAATGACATGGAGGAAGTATTTACAATGTATTGTAAAATGGGAACTTTTAGAATACAATGTTTGATATAGCGTATTGTGAATGAGCCTAGATCTGAACCTGCTGGAAAGTTCCTGATGTGGAACCACTAAGAATGTAGATCGGCCCAGTCTGTGGAGAATGCACTGGGACGCTGGGAACCAGCCAGGATTCAGTCTAGAAATGCTGCAGGATATGTTCAATATGCAAGGTACATGGAACATGGAATTACAGATTTTTGCAGTTATTCTAAGATGTATTTATTTTTATTGTAAAGTCAGATTTACAGAGTGGAGGAGAGACAGAGAGAAAGATCTTCCATCTGCTGGTTCACTCCCCAAGTGGCCACAGTGGCCAGAGCTGAGCTGATCCAGAGCCAGGAGGCAGGAGCTTCTTCTGGGTCTCCCATGCAGGTGCAGGATTCCAAGGCTTTGGGCTGTCATCAACTGCTTTCCCAGGTCACAAGCAGGAATTTGGAAAGGAGCAGCCAGGGTTTGAACCAACGCCCATATGTGATCCTGTCATGTTCAACGTGAGGACTTTAGTCACTAGGCTACAGCTCCGGGCCCCTCCCGTTAGCTTTTAAAAGGCCTCATATATCTGCTGTAGCTTAATCCATAGTTGAATGAGATGGCTTGGTTCAGAAAAGCACATAAAAGTGATTTAAGGAACAGCTCTAATTATACCTGAGGAATTTGATATTAAAGGAAATCACATTGTAGCAACAGAAATAGTGGCAGAGAGAGGATAGATGCACAAACTCTTAACTGCCAGATTACATGTGCTCATTTAAAAGATTTGTTTGGCCCTGCATGATGGATCAGTAGCTAAATTCTCACCTTGCATGCACTGGGATCCCATATGGGTGCCAGTTGATGTTCTGGCTGTTCCACTTCCCATGAAGCTTCCTGCTTGTGGTCTGGGAAAGCAGCAGAGGACGGCCCAAAGCCTTGGGATCCAGCACTCACATGGGAGACCCTGAAGAGGCTCCCGACTTCGGACTGGCTCAGCTCCAGCCATTGCAGCCGCTTGGGGAGCGAACTAACGGAAGATCTTTCTGTCTCCTCTGTGTAAATCTTCCTTCCCAATGAACATAAATAATTATTTTTTTTACTTGTAGTATTCATTTGAAGCGTTAAATTGGGAGAGAATGGGGGATAGATGTGGAAAGATGTGTTCATGCTTCCTGTGGTTGCAACAGCTGCACCAAGTCAACCTGGAACTTCATCCTGATGTCCCTGTAGGTGGCAGGAATTCAATCACAGCCATTACCTGCTGCTGCCAAGAGTACACATGAATAGGAACCTGGCACGGAAAGCAGAGACAGGATACAGACTCAAGCACACTGTTACGGGTTGTCGACTTTTCAAGAGGCAGCCAAACATCTGCCCCATACCTTGATGTTTTATTCTTGAAGTACTATTAAGAACATTAAAGTGTTTTAGCACAATAAGGTTCCCTGTTTGAGTTGCTAAGGATTTCAATTCATTTACATGTATTATGTACATTTTACTCCTTACCAAATGTGTATCACTTACAAAATGATCCATACAGTAGACATTTTTAATACCTCTCCTATTCCAAGACTGTTTAAGTGCCACAAGCATAAAAATTAGCAATGGGTGGTCTCTGCGTGCATGATCCTAACAAGGTAGTGGAAGAAGACAGAAATAGTTGGCATTCAGTATGAGACATTCTATGACTGAAGGTTTCATGGAATCCAGTCTAGATGAGGATGAGGTGAGTTTAGGAAGCGTTTAAGTGACGGTGCTATGTAAGCCGGCCTTGAGGAAGAAGCAGCAAGTGCCAGGGGAGAAGGCAGGTAGAGGGGATTCTCTGGGAAATAACGGCGTCTGCAAAACCCCTGAGACGTCAAAGTGCATAGTGTGTTGAAAAAACGTTTGTTCTTGTGGAAGACAAGTGGAGACTGAGGCTCGGGGTTAATTTTATGTGTCAACCTGGTTAGCCAAACATTCTTCTGGATGTTTCTGTGAGTATGTTTTCAGATGTGATTTGTATTTAAACCAGTGCATTTTTATCAAAGCAGATTGTTCTTTGCAGTGTTGGGAACACAGAGAATTCACTGAAGTCTGCCCTGCTCGCAGGGGTCGTTCTCCAGCGGATAGCCTGTGTGCTGATCTCGTGTATACTGGTCGGTGACTCAGCCTAGCCTGGCATGATTCACCCACAGTCTCAGCTCTTGCTGGCAGGTATTATCAGCTAGCCCAGCCAGATATGGCCTATACCCTGTCCTGGCTCTCATGCTTGCCATTGGAAGCTGTGGCCTCGCCCAGCCTGGTCTGGCCCAGACCTGGTCATACAAATGCCGAGGAGTGCTGCAGTCCTGCCTGGCCTGACCCGCCCCCAGCCCTAGCTCTTGTGCTCCAAAGCATGAGCTGTGGCTTAGTAAAAGAATTCTCCAAGTTCCCTACCAGGCTTACTCCCAACCTCAGATCCCACAGGTGCTAGCAGACACAGTGGCCCTGCTTGGTATGGTCTGCCCTCAGTCCTGGCCTTTGCATGTTACAGCCTGGATCCCCTCCCCCACTTTCCGGGCCCCCTCCCAGCCCAGCTCCCGTGTCAGGTGGGTTCCTGTCAGGTAAGTTTCATGGTCCAGCCTGGCTCAGCCAGTCTCCACCCCCAGCTCTCTGTGTACACCACTATGTGCTGCAGACCCACAGAGGTGAGCCCACAAGTCCCCTGCAGAATCTGCCCCCAGACCCAGTTCCCTTGCATTATGTCTAGGCAGTTCCATCTGGCCCAACCCAGGTCTCCCATGTGGGCGGGTACTTTGCCTGACCCAGACATGCCCTCCATTTTCCCTAGTCTAAACTACCTCATCTCAGCTCTCATCTATCTGCAAGTGCTGAGGCCTGGTTCATGGAAGACCCCAGAAATCATTCCTTCCCTGTGAAACATGCCCTTAGCTGCTCCCAATCCCAACACGTCCCCAGACACCCTTCTCTGGACAATCCACGACCATGACCCTCTACCTGGGAGCCAGGAGTGCGTATCATGACATGATATTCCCTGCCTTCCCCACTTGCCTTTTAAAAAGAAAAAAAGAAGTAACTATTCTGGCACACTGGTATAGTTAACACAAATTTGACATAAACTAGGCCCAGAATGCCCACCAACTACTGGCTGCTTTTCTCTCAGCAGTGAAACACTTGTTTAGATACAAGTCAACCTAGGTAGTTGCTTACAGCTGGGGATCCCATTAAACTTTATTCATTTATTTGTATTTTTATTGGAAAGACAAGCTTACAGAAAGAAGGAGAGACAGATGGATCTTCCATTCACTTCCCAAGTGTCTGCAATTGCTGGAGCTACACCAATTCAAAGCCAGGAGCCAGGAGCTTCTTCCAAGTCTCGCATGTGGGTCCAGGGTCCCAAGGCTTTGGGCCATTCCCAGACCACAAGCAGGGAACTGGATAGGAAGTGGAACAGCCAGGACACGAACTGATGTCCATATGGGATCCTTGTGCTTAGCAGTGAAAGATTAGCCAGTTGGACTATTTGGGGTTCTCTCTTAAAATCTCAGTGTACATTGAGATTTTAATATGTTGTTCAACTGCTGATAAGAAAGAAAAGTTGTGTAATTTACATTACTAGCAAGAATACATGAGCTGTATTATGATAATTTTATTTATTTTTTAGCTTTAGTGTATGTTCCTATCTGTAGATGGGGCAGAATATTTAAAAATAACTAATTTGTATTTATAGTAATTTGTAATTACTGTAGTTTGGATCTAGTGTTGTACAAAATTGATTTTACAGAAGACTTTAAACTCACCCATTTACAGTTTGTAACATATGCAAGTGGAATATATTCAGAAGGAAAAATTTCATCTTACTTGCCTTTTAATTTTTCTGTTTTTTGTTGTTGTTGTTGTTGTTGTTGTTGGATGGGTATAGAGAAAGGTAGGAATGAAAATATGAAAAAATACCAGTTTGCCTTGTAAAGATGTCAAATAGAGAATAAGATAAAGAATATAAAAACTGATCAATCTTGAAAGAGACAAAGTAAGAAAGACAAAATGGGACATTATTCCATTGGACTACATATATGGCATATTGTCAGGTCATCTTGTCCTATTTTATTATTTTTTCCTAGACTCTGGTACAACAGTAGATTGGTTCATGTGACTATAATAGAAATTAGAATTTCAATGAATAAATATGTATATTTATCTTTTTTTCCAAATAGAACTGCTTTTCTGAAGAAATGGATACTTCTCCCCCGCAAAAATACCCAGTTAAAAAACGAGTGAAAATACATCCCAACACAGTGATGGTAAAATACACTTCCCATTATCCTCAGCCTGGGGATGATGGATATGAAGAAATTAATGAAGACTATGGGAGTTTTATGGAAGAAAATCCAAAGAAAAGTCTACTGAGTGAGATGAAAAGAAAAGGAAGAACTTTGTTTGGAAGCATGGATACCCGACCTCCACCAATAGAAAACTCCATGACTAATGAGACTGGACGATTCCAGAGCTTTGCAGACAAAAATATTTTTCAATCCCGAAAAATGTGGATTGTGCTGTTTGGATCTGCTTTGGCCCATGGCTGTGTAGCTCTCATCACTAGGCTTATTTCTGATCGTTCCAAAGTTCCATCGCTAGAACTGATCTTTATCCGTTCTGTCTTGCAGGTCTTATCTGTGTTAGTTGTGTATTACTATCAAGAAGCCCCCTTTGGACCAAGTGGCTACAGATTACGACTCTTCTTCTATGGTGTATGCAATGTCATTTCTATCACCTGTGCATACACATCATTTTCCATCGTTCCTCCCAGCAATGGGACCACTATGTGGAGAGCCACGACCACAGTCTTCAGTGCCGTTTTGGCTTTTTTACTTGTAGATGAGAAAATGGCTTATGTTGACATGGCTACAGTTGTTTGCAGCATCTTAGGTGTTTGTTTTGTCATGATCCCCAACATTGTTGATGAAGACAATTCTTTGTTAAATGCGTGGAAAGAGGCCTTTGGCTATACTATGACTGTGATGGCTGGACTGACCACTGCTCTTTCTATGATCGTGTACAGATCCATCAGGGAGAAGATCAGCATGTGGACTGCACTGTTTACATTTGGCTGGACTGGGACGGTGTGGGGACTGTCAACCATGTTTGTTCTTCAAGAACCCATCATCCCCTTAGATGGAGAAACCTGGAGTTATCTCATTGCTATATGTGTCTGTTCCACTGCAGCATTCTTAGGAGTTTATTATGCCTTGGACAAATTCCATCCAGCTTTGGTCAGCACAGTACAGCATCTAGAAATTGTGGTAGCTATGGTCTTGCAGCTTCTAGTGCTGCACATATTTCCTAGTGTTTATGATGTCTTCGGAGGGGTAATCATTATGCTGAGTGTTTTTGTCCTTGCTGGCTATAAGCTTTACTGGAGAAATGTGAGGAGGCAGGATTATCAGGAAATATTAGACTCTCCCATTAAATGAAGACCTGATCATTATTACCTTGTTACTCTTCAGTTATTAGTATGTCCACTGCCGTTTTCATGTTTACCTATAAAACGTCTTTTGTGTTGTATAATTGACAGAGTGCTATATAATATGTAACTTATATACACAGATACAGAAAAATATTATAGTCTAATATATTCAAATACATATATTAAATATGTGAAAATGTCATGAACCTCGTGTCTTTATGGTTGTTAATAAAAGAATTGTGGAGCAAGCACAATGGCTTAACTGGCTAGTCCTCTGCCTGTAAGCACTGGCTTCACATGTGGGTGCTGGTTTGTGTCCTGCTTCCCAACTAGCTCTCTGCTGTGACTTGGTAAAGCAATAGAGAATGACCTAAACTGGGACCCTGCACTCACATGGGAGACCCAGAGGAAGCTCCTGGCTTTGGAATGGCTCAGCACCTGTCATTGTGGCCATTTGAGGAGTGAACCAGCAGATAGAAGATTTTTCTATCGCTTCTCGACCTTTTGGCTAAGATCAAGTGTAGATCTTTCTCTCTCTGTCTTCCCTTCTCTTTATAAATATCTACCTTTCCAATAAAAATAAATTAATCATTTGAAAATAAAAAGATTATTGTGGTAGAAGGATAATGCTAACCTCTATCACTAAACACACGTTTTAAAGAAATGGATTTCTTTCAAGTAGAACTTGTATGGTCCCAAAGTTCAGAAATTATAGAAGTACTAATATCTCATACCCTACAGATGTTCAGCAGAAGTCCTGTAATATTCAGAAATATTCAGGTGTTTGATCTAGTGGTTAAGATGCCACTTTGGGTCCAACATTATGGACTAACAGGTAAAGCAAACTCTTAAAATGCTGCCATCCCATATAGGCACCAGTTCCAAGTCCCAGCAACTCCACTTCCAATCCAGATACCTGCTGTGTGCCTGGGAAAGCAGTGGCAGATGGCCCAAGTATTTGGATCCCTGCACTTACCTGGGAGACCCAGTTAGAAGTACAGATGTGTGGCTTTCGTCTAGAACAGCCCTGGATGTTGCAATCAACTGAGGAGTGAACCAGTGCATGGAAGACCTCTCTCTGTGTCTCTTCCTTTCTTCTTTCTCTCCGTAACTGTGCCTTTCAAATAAATCTTTCTTTCTTTCTTTTTTTTTTGCAATGCCAATTGGAATATCAATATCTCATCTCAGGCTGCCTGGACTGGAGCTCCTCCTCTCCTGCTGCTTCTAGCTTCTTGCCAGTGAGCAACCTGAGGTGACGGCTCAGCAGCTCAGACCCTGGCACTCAGGAGACCTGGATGGGGTTCTTTGCTTCTGGCTTTGGCCTTGCCCAGACCCTATGGTTGTGGGCATTTGGGCGAACCAGCAAATTTAAGTGTTTTCTCATAAATAAATAAAATTTTAAAATCTCAATTTGTGAAAAGTATACCCTATGGTGAAATGTTGACCACTAAGGCCTGTTTTTGTCATCAACAGGTGATAGGGTTGGTTAAGAAAATTTGATTTGAGGTGAGAAAGGAGACACAAGTAAGAGCTGGTTTTCTGCAGTGGCAGTGGGTGACTGTCCAGCATTGAAACAGGAAATATGTTCTTGTCATGGCCACATGAGGTGATGCGTAGGAAAGTGCTGCCCAGCCTTGCTATTTTGTGCTTGATGGTGGGAGAGCTCAAGTGGGGGGCAGGGTCTGCTTATCCTCAGTTATGCAGCTGTCTCCCAAAGATCCCTTGTCTATGATTTTGTAGCACCTATCCATGAGCACTACAGTGAAAATGCAGTAATTATGATTCAGCAGTAAACTGACATGTATCTTAAGATTTCTTATCAAGGGGCATGAAAATCTATAAAAGTGTTTAAAATGGTACATTCTTACTATTTTAGCACAGTTGTTGATATGATTATTATTAAGTTATTATCTCAACTCCAGATTATTTTTTTAAGATTTATTTTTATTGGAAAGTCAGATTTACAGAGGAGAGACAGAGAAAGATCTATCCACTGGTTCACTCTCCAAGTGGCCACAATGGCCGGTGCTGAGCCAATCTGAAGCCAGGAGCCAGGAGTTTCTTCTGGATCTCCCATGCAGGTGCAGGATCCCAAGGCCTTGGTCGTCCTTGACTGCTTTCCCAGGCTACAAGCAGGAAGCTGGATGAGCAGTGGAGCAGCCTGCACATAATCTGTTGCTCATATGGGATCCCAGCACATGCAAGGCAAGGACTTCAGCCACTAGGCTACTGCGCTGGGGCCCAACTCCAGATTTTCTTAAAGATTGATCTTTAGATTCCCAGAAATTATGGTCATTCCTACTACAGAATGGGTCCTAGCACTCAGTTTAGCAATTAAAGTTACCAGGGCCCAGTCATGGCTATACTTCACAGCCAAACATGTGATTTAAGTCTTGCTGATTGGTGGGTAGGACTTTTTTTTTTGTCCTAAATATACATTCCTGGGTAACAGTGATGCTTTATTAGGTCATTCTCCTGTAACCATGTTTTTAAAAAGATTTACTTATTTTAAAGGCAAAACAGAAAGGGGGGAATGAGAGAGGGAGAGGCAAAGAGAGGAGAAATTTTCCATACATTGGTTCATTTCCCAAATGGCTGAAACAATTGGGGCTGTGCCAGCCAAAACCAGGAGCTGGGAACAGTGCCATTCAAGTGGCAGGGGCCAAGTACCTGGGCCATCTCCGGCTGCCTTATCAGAAATATCTGCAGGGAGCTGCATCAGAAGCGTAATGGGATCTTGAACAGGTAAGTGGCAGCTCAGTCCTCTGGGTCACAATGCCCTGTGCCCCAGTCATTCCTAGATACAAGCTATCAATAGACTCCTGGAAGTGGTGCTGAGCAATGGAAGCTCATTTCCCCCCGCTTCTTTATCTTCATAAATCCTTTATTTGGGGTTAATGAAGTGAGTCACCGCTGTGTTTTTATCACAGATTAGCTTCTCAGATCCAAAGCTCCACTTCTAGTCCAGAGGTTACATACTGCAGCACAGCCTTTTCTGTTGCCCGATTCTGGTTAGTCCCTGGTCCACTCAGCACTAATTATCAAACATGCTTCTTGGTTTCCACTTCAGTTCTCAAGAAAAAGTCACCAGCATGTTTATATTTGGAAATTGAGGAGACAGGAAGAAAGCCCTGGTCCGACTCCCACCTTGTGAAACAGTGTGTATTCCTCTCGAGTGAAATTTCACAAATGACTTTTTGCCTATTCATACTTCCACTCTGTGCTTCCTTCTTCAATTTCCTTATTTTCCTTTTTTTAAGGATTCTTGGTAAGAGTGGATGATGAGGAAGCTTAATGAAGGAAAAGCTATGCTTACTGAGAACTAAAACCCTTTTACGAGAGAGCACATTTAAGTGGCTGCCATTGTGCTGCATCAGGCTAAGGCACTGTCACCTGCTGCTTCTAGCAACATCTGAGCATCGATTCAAGTCCTGGATGCTCTGCTTCCGATCCAGCTTTCTATCTGCCTGGGGAGCTGCCCAAACGGCCCAGATCCTTGGGGTCTGCCACTCACCTGGGAGACACAGCTGGGGAGCTTCAGCCTCCTTGCTTTGGCCTGGCCCAGTGCCAGCCAGGAACCAAGAGCTTCTTCTAGATGTGGGTACAGGGTGCCAAGGCTTTGGGTCTCCTCAACTGCTTTCCCAAGGCATGAACAGGGAGTTGCATGGGAAATAGAGCCGATGGGACATGAACCAGCACCCTTATGGGATGCCAGCACTTGCAGGCAGAGGATTAGCTAGTTGATCCAATGGGGTAGTCCCCAAAGGCTGCATTTTACATATTGGTATTTGTATTCATACCCACCATCGCTATTCACGTTAAATAGGTAACTAGAATTGAGTCAAGTTGAGTCAAGTTCTATTAATAGTAGGCTGTGTGATTTTGCAGAAATAGTTTGAAGAGACTCTGTACAAGGGTTTCTTAAAAAAATGAATCTATGGGGTAGGCATATGGCCCTAGCAGTTAAGGTACCGTTTGGGATGCTCAGATTTCTCCTACTAGAGTGCCTAGCTTCGAGTTCTCGCTCTGCCTCTGTCCATGGCCATCCCAGGAGGCAGCACCTGATCACTTGAGTCCCTGCCACCATGAGAGCGTCATGGACTGAGTCCTGGGCTTCCTTGGCTGCATCTTGGCTCCCGTTGGGCTGTTGGAGCACCTGGGGAGTGAACCAGTAGATGGGACATCTGTCTGAAAAAAAAAAAAGTAATACCTTAATCCATAGGCTTTATAAAGGGTATGAGGAAACCTTGTATTAGCTCAGCTTACCATAACAAAAGGTCAGCGTGAGCACAAACAACCAGCTTTTCTTCAGTTTCAGGAGGCTGAGAAGACCAAGGCCTGGCGCCAGTACGGGCGGCTGTGAAGTGGGGGCATCTTTTCTGGCTGCAGGTGACTCTGTTGTGTCCTCACGTGTAGGAAAGAGCCCCGATGGTGCCTCATTTCCTAAAATATTAATCCCATCACATTAGGAGCCATTCTTATGACCTCATTTAGCCTTGACTACCTCCGAAAAGCCTTTCTCCAGCCCCATGATGGGTTAGGGCTTCACCCTAGGAGTTTTTGTCTGGAGTCAAGATTTGGTCTAAAGCAGTCGTGATAAAATGTGCAAAGGTATTCACACTCGGGGGGCGGAGGGGGTAGTGATCTACTCACTTGCCTTGCTCACTAACTGGGAGGGCTAGGAAAAGGTCTTGGATAACTTGTGCTTGACTTCATGATTCTACAACAAGACAGGCCAACCACATGCATCCGCTGGCACTCCAGGGAATAATCTGGAGACCAAAGCAGAAAACTGAATTTCTGAGAGCCGTAATCAGGAAGAAAGGAGATGTATTTATCCTTTCAGCAGTTGTTTACTGGCCATAAAATGAAATGGACATGGTTCCTGATTTTAACAATCCAGGTAGGGATAGAAATAAATCCTTTTCACAGCTCAGCATGGGGGGGTAACACCTGTGCTCCAGGAAAGGTACCTAGCAGGTTTCTCTGAGGACCCAGATCTAAACTTAGCCACAAAGATGGCTGGGAAGGACCAGGGATGGGAGGACCTGGAGAATCAATTTAGGGATGCTCCAGGAGGTGGTGGTGGTTGGAGGGGAGGTGCTGGACCGAGACCCTAGCATAAAACGAGCAGACCCTAACCGCCACGACACGACTGGAGGCTGCTCACGGGACACGGCACTTCGGGCCCGCGGA